ATGAAGAGAGGTTTTATTCGCCAAAGTCAGGGAAAGTATTTTATGTTCAGCAGCAGCATTAAAAACCTTGCATGTAATGACCAATGTTTGGTGTTACACACGATTAACTAAACAGACAGAACTCCTGCCTTCCAAGGAATTAGTTTCTAAAACAACAACAGCACAGACATACTATTTATAAATAATCCCATATGACTACTTGTCATATAAACAGGTGACTATACGAGACTAAACATGAAACTGAGTTCAGAGGTGGGCAGATTTTCCCAATGCTTTCGATTTACAAATATCAGATAAAATAAAAGGAGCATTCAGTAACCAATGTAAAGAGGAGAGCAATACCCCAGACTAGCTCCCCTCTTTGAGCAGGAGGCAATCAGAGAGCATCTTTCAAGAGGAGTCCTTTAGGACCCCTGACTGGCTCAGTCAGTAGAGCATGTGACTCTTGCTCTTGGGGTCATGAGTTTGAGCCCCAAGTTGGGCAGAGAGATTACTTCGGAGAGAAAAAAAAGAAGGGTCTTTTATTTTTTTTTTTAAAGATTTTATTTATTTATTCATGAGAGACAGAGGGGGAGAGAGAGAGAAGCAGAGGGAGAAGCAGGCTCCCAAGGAGCAGGGAGCCCGATGCGGGACTCGATCCCAGGATGCTGGGATCATGACCTGAGCCCAAGGCAGACGCTTAACCATCTGAGCCACCTAGGCACCCAAGAAGGGTCTTTTAAGTAAGACTTCATGGCTCTCTACATGGCCAAATTTGCCCTCTCTCATTGGAGCTTCTTCATCAAACACATTATCAGGGGCGCCTGGGTGGCTCAGTCTGTTAAGCGTCTGCCTTCGGCTCAGGTCATGATCCCAGGGTCCTGGGATCCAGCCCCACATGGGCTCCCTGCTCAGCCAGGAGCCGGTTCTCCCTCTCCTGCTGCCACTCACTCCCCCTGCTTGTGCTCTCTCACTTGTTCTCTCCTTCTCTCTCTCAAATAAGTAAATAAAAATCTTTAAAAAAACACACACATTATCATCAGAATTATCCTCTGAGGTAAAGGGCTATGTTACGGCTGCAGTTTAGTGAAACATGTGACTATTTCCTTTATTTAACCTGGAACAAAGAAAAATGTTTCCCTTTCTCAATAGGAATGGTAAATTAGAAGAAAAATCAGTGGATCAATTTGTGTGTTGGTGTGTGCATGTGTTTATGAGTGTGTTTAAAATAAGAGATTGGTAATTTAGTGACCTACTGCCTACATTTGTAGAAATGATGGAATAATAGTTGTTGGATAGAGCAAGATTCTCCTACATCTCCTAGTATTTCTGAAAGATGGACATACCTAATGAGTTACTTATAATTTTATGGCTGCCCAACATCTTACTCCGCCCTCCATACACTGTTTGGGAATTTTTGTGAGTGGCAGGATCTCTTCTCCCACTCGAGGGGCCAGAAGGTCCAGATACTTGCCTTCTGCCCTTCCACATGCCCCCCACCCGCCATCCCCACAGCCATCCTAGGGTGAGGGAAAGTGACCCAAGCTTGGTAGACTGGATGCTCCTACTTGGGACTTTGAATCAGGACCGAGTCACACAGACTAAGCAGAATTCATCCCCCTCGCACCTGTGATACCCAGAGTCTGGTGACGCAATGGCAGCAGTCTCTGGGGTGGTATCCAGCATTTACTGGCAATGGCAGTGGTACCCTAACCAGGCCATTTCAGGACTGACTTTAGCTGTGGTTCTGGCTCTCTAGCTTCACTCAACTCCCTTCCTTCCATCAAAACTGTGATTCACTCACTGCTCCTCCAGAAAATTTCTTGTCTGCTTACGTTGGCCGCTGAGATGGTTTAACATATAAAGGAAAGGTACAGAAATCAAAAGATTGCAGAAATAATCCATTTCCCCATTTCTCATATAGTTTCCCTTTACTCAGTTTAATGGAAATTATCCATGTTTAGGTTGTTGTTTTGTTTTGTTTTGTTTTTTGGGGGGGGGGCTTGGCCCTGATTTTTATGACTCTAGTCTTTAGAGTTTCAAAACTTAAGAGTACATCTGTACCCATTTCAGGTAAACTTAAGTGAAGGTGTCCTAAATTACACATTCCCTTCTGTTATTCAGTTCATTGATTATACCCAAATAATAAGCACTCCTCTCAAGATTTTGACTTGATTTTTTTACTCACTTTGCTATTAAAAACTAATATTGCACACATTTCCAAAGGGGAAAGACTCCATATAAATCTCTCTCGACTAAACATTTCTATGCATGCAAAGGGCTTTTAATTTTTTTCTTGAATTCCTTCTGCCAACAAGAATCTTCCGAATCAAGCATTTCATTTGGGGCCATCAAAGCCCTCTTTGCTAAAATTACATGGAAAAAGGATTCTTTTTTCCATTTTTGCAAAAATATTTCAACTACCTCAGTTGAAGGGTTCATTTGTGACTCTTTTCTGCAGAGATTTACAACCTTGTTTCTGCAACATCTAATTGAGCCCCCGATGTTCTCAACTAATGATGTGAAAGTCACAGAATGAAATTAATTTGCACCCACTTTATGGCAAACAATCACAATAAATATCTGATTACTGGTCATGTGCCAGTCACGGTTCTGTGATAATACAGCAGTGACTATGCCAAGAGTCTATTCCTCCAGAACTTATGGCTTAGCAGGGAAGATAGAATACTTATAAATAATTAAACAACCACAAGTGTGAAGGCCAAAGTACGTGGCATATTTAACAGTGAGAACTGACTGAGTCTAAAACGAACAGAGGCTTCCTCAAGAAAATGACATTTAAGCTGAAAGCTACAGGATGAGTAGAAATGAGCGAGGCAAAGAGAGAGCAAAATGTTTCAGGCAGAAAAAACAGCATATGCAAATGCTCCGAGGCAGGAAGAATGGTGGTTTGTTTCAGGAACTAACAGAAATCCAATCTGGCTGGAGAAAGTGACGAGATTCAGAAGGAGCCTAGCAAAGAAGATGGCTACAGAAGAAAGCAGGTAAGCATTGGAAACCAAAGTAGGCTGAACTTGCATTTTCTGGTTAACTCAGTTTTTATAGCCCAGAAGGACCAGGGGCACAAAAGACAAAGCAAGATTCAAGATGAGAGTTTCCCTTCATAAAGCCAAGACCCAAAGTGTTGCACTCTCAGTATTAGGACAAATGATAAATGAATACCTCTCCCCTCCTTGGAAATGCAAAAAGCTACTGTTTTTTTGTTTTGTTTTGTTTTGTTTTGTTTTGTTTTGTTTTGTTGTTTTTTTAAAGCTACCTGTTTTAAACTTTGGTGCTGAATGGAGAGAAGAAAACTTTCCCTGAGAATTCATTACCACAAGCAAACCCTTTTGCAAGTTTATAGTTTGAATTCACACTTCTTGGATAGACCAAAAATATCTCAAGTCAATACTTTGATTTGCTCTTGGTTTGGATGCCCCAATCACCTGACAGAAGCAAAGGTAAATCCTTTCTGAAGGAACCTCTTGCCTCCCAGGCCTCAAGAGTTTCTACGAAGGGGTTCCTGGGTGAGTCAGTCGGTTAAGCGTTGGACTCTTGATTTCGGCTCAGGTCATGATCTCAGGGTCCTGAGATGGAGCCCTGCTTGAGACTCTTTCCCTCTCCTTCTGTCCCTCCCCACTCCCACTCATGCTCTCTCTCTCTCCAAAATAAATAAATAAATAGATAAAATCTTTTAAAAAAATAATTTCTGCTGAAAATTCAAAGGAATAGCATAATTCATAGTAAAACAAAAATGTCATCAACAGCAACCACAGTGTCAGTCAGCAATAATCATCCAAAATGATGAACATCATGAGCCCTCATGGCAGAATCAGACCCATAGAACTTTCAGATGTTGAAATTATTCAACACAGAAAATCAATAAGTAAGTGTAATGTTTCTAAGAATAAATAAATCTTTAAAGCATGAATCAAAAGTGGGCAGTTAAAAAGAATGAAACATCTTTTCTGATACCAATGGATAGGGAACAGAAAATTAATCCTCTTTTGAGAAAAACCAGAAAAGCTGGTCAAAAAAAGTTGTTTTTAATTGGAATCTTGGAAGCTTGACCTCCTTAAGTTCTCCTATCAATGGACCTAGGGAGCTTGTTTGGAGGTTCTAGCAGGGGAGTACAGTTACTCATATACCCTTGACTCAAGAATGGTCCTCCTCTGTTGGGTAGGTGGTCCTCTTCCATTGAGCATGCAGCTTTGGAGGGATGCACGTGCAGTGGTAAGTGGGAAAGGGGACACCCACCCAGCCAGCCAGATCAGCCAAATCAACTTTGGTGATCAATGGGGTGACAGATGTTGCAGCCAGATAGCCTTCACATCTATGGTCAAAATATTTTTAGAATCTTGAACACATGAGAGAACTTATAAGGCAGAGAAGAATTAAAACAGGAGCTATATGTAATACATTTGAAAATCTAGACTAAATGCAAAAATTTCTAAAAATATATGAAATTTTTAAATTGACATGAGAAGAAATGGAGAACTTGAATAAAGTATAAATTTAAAGAAATTAAAATGGTAGTTAAGACCTCCTCTTACAGGGCGCCTGGGTGGCTCAGTTGTTAAGCGTCTGCCTTCGGCTCAGGTCATGATCCCAGGGTCCTGGGATCGAGCCCCACATCGGGCACCCTGCTCTGCAGGAAGCCTGCTTCTCCCTCTCTCACTCCCCCTGCTTGTGTTCCCTCTCTCGCTGTGTCTCTCTCTGTCAAATAAATAAATAAAATCTTAAAAAAAAAAAAGACCTCCTCTTACAAAAAAACAAAAACATCAAAATGATTTTATGGGTGAGTTTACCAGCCATTTGAGAAGCAATTCATTCTGGTTTTATAGAAGTTTATTCATAAATCAGAGAAAGAACAAAAGATTCCCACCTCTTTTTAGAAGAAAGCTATATCTTGATTTCAAAACACAAGAAAGACAATACAATAAAAGAACATTATAAGCCATTTCACTTATGAATATAAATTTTGACAATGAACTACAGCTATACACAGTATGTTTGAATTTCACCAACAATATTGAGTGGGAGGGGCAAGTCATAGAAAAATGTAATCATTATGATTCTACTTAAAGTTCTAAAACATTCAGCTCTCTTTGCCGCATCTCCTGCGAGAATGACCATTCTCAGCAATCAGACTGTCGACATTCCAGAAAATGTCGACATCACTCTGAAGGGAAGCACAGTTATTGTGAAGGGACCCAGAAGAACACTGAGAAGGGACTTCAATCACATCAATGTAGAACTCAGTCTTCTTGGAAAGAAAAAGAAGAGGCTCCGAGTTGACAAATGGTGGGGAAATAGAAAAGAGCTGGCTACTGTTTGCACTATCTGTAGTCATGTACAAAACATGATCAAGGGCGTTACACTGGGCTTCTGTTACAAGATGAGGTCTGTGTATGCTCACTTCCCCATCAACGTTGTTATTCAGGAGAATGGTTCTCTTGTTGAAATCCGAAATTTCTTGGGTGAGAAATACATCTGCAGGGTTCGGATGAGGCCAGGTGTTGCTTGTTCTGTATCTCAAGCCCAAAAAGATGAGTTAATTCTTGAAGGAAATGACATTGAACTTGTATCGAACTCAGCTGCTTTGAGTCAGCAAGCCACAACTGTTGAAAACAAGGATATCAGAAAGTTTTTGGATGGTACCTATGTTTCTGAAAAAGGAACAGTTCAGCAGGCTGATGAATAAGATCTGAGTTGTCCATCTACAGAAACAGCAAGATGCCGGATGATTTTTCAGACTTGTGATATTTTAAATATGCAATAAAAGCTATACTGATTTGGAAAATAAAGTTCTAAAACATTCAAAAATGTATAATATGCTATTTAAGGATATATACAAAAGTGATCAAGAATATAAAGAAAACAGAAATAATTAACTCAAAATTTAGGACAGTGTTCATTTTGCGAGTAATAAGGGGGTTTTTGATAGAAATTATTCTGGTTTTTGGCCTAGGTAGTGAGTATGCACATATCATTTTTTCATTATTCTTTAATTGCACATTTTCATTTATCCTTTTCTGTACATTATATATAGCAGACTTAAAAAATTTGATGAATTGAAATCTTTTTAAAAGTCATAGCAACATCAGAATAGAGAGCCCAAAATACTGTCTTCTCTTCTTAGGGAATTTATTAATAAAAAGGAGATTTAAGGGGCACCTGAGTGGCTCAGTCTGTTAAGTATCTGCCTTCAGCTCAGGTCATGATCCCAAGATCCTGGGATGGAGTCCCACATCGGGCTCTCTGCTCAGTAGGGAGCCTGCTTCTCCTTCTCCCTCTTCTGCTCCTCCCTTGCTTGTGCTCTCTCTCTGCAAAAAAAAAAAAAAAGAAAAGAAAGAAAGAAAAGGAGATTTATTTTTTTAAAGATTTTATTTATTTATCTGAGAGAGAGAGAATGAGAGATAGAGAGCATGAGAGGGAGGAGGGTCAGAGGGAGAAGCAGACTCCCCACTGAGCAGGGAGCCCGACACAGGACTCGATCCCAGGACTCCAGGATCATGACCTGAGCTGAAGGCAGTCACTTAACCAACTGAGCCACCCAGGTGCCCCAGAAAAGGAGATTTAACTTAAAAAAAGTAAATAAATAACAGGGACACCTGGCTGGCTCGGTCAGTGTAGTTTGTGACTCTTGACTCATGAGTTCAAGCCCCACATTGGGCATAGAGTTTACCTTAAAAAAAAAAAAGCAAAAAAAAATCCTACAGTATTTTGAATTTGAAACTCCAGATAATGACAAAGAACTTAGTGTGAGTACTTTTCCAAAATTTGGTTAAACCACCAAAACTCTTCCTATTAGACTATCCGCTAACTTCTTTTCTTTTACAATGGGTAAATCGCCTGTTCAAAATCACATTCCCTGAAGAATGCTTTCTTGGTCTGCTCATATATTTGTAATTCCAAAGATACCAGTCCTTTATTTATCCTTTATACTCTTTCTTTCTTTATTTTTGTCTGTCTGTCTGTCTTTTTTACAGCCTTTGAGTCACTTTATTTTTCTTGTATAAAACTATGTGGTGGCCACAGCAGGAGTCTGGTGTGGGTCTTTACAAGACAGTCAGTGAATCCCTGATGGGGGGACTTGGTGAACACAGTCCCTTTCCAGAGGTCAGGGGTGAGACAGCTGTGGGTCTTGGAAATGGTGTCAAAAGTGGCCTTGGCCAAGTTGTCAGGGTGAGAGGGCAGCCCCTGGCTGAGGTGTAGCAGTTGTCAATACCATCAACTTTTATCATGAGATTCCATCAATTCAGTCCCATCTTTAGGCTCCCCTTGTCATTCCAGTTCTCTTGCTATTTCCACCACATCTGCGGTTAATTCCACCTCTGAAGTCTTGGACTCCTCAAAGTCACCAGTAGGATTGGAATCAACTTCTTCCAAACTCCTGTTCATTTTGATATTTTGAACTCTTTCCATGAATCACAAATGTTCTTAATGGCATCTCAAATGGTGAATCCTTTCCAGAAGGTTTTCAATTTTCTTTGCCCAGATCCATCAGAGGAATCCTTATCCATGGCAGCTATAGCCTTATGAAATGTATTTCCTAAGTAAGAGGACTTGAAAGTTGGGATTACTCCTTGACCCATGGGCTACAAGATGGGTGTTATGTTAGCAGGCATGAAAACAACATTAATCTCCATCAAAGCTCAATGAGCTCTTCAAATGAGCAGTAATATTTTGAAAGAAATCTGTTTTCTTGAGCAGTAGGTCTCAACGATGGGCTTAAAATAGTCAGTAAACAATGCTGTAAACAGATGCGCTGACATCCAGTCTTGGTTGTCCCATTTCTAAAGCACAGGCTGAGTAGATTTCACATAATTCTTAAGGATTTTCAGCCAATGAGCATTGGCTCCTACTTAAGTCACCAGTTGCTTGAACCCCTGACAAGAGTCAGCTTCCTCTTTGAAGTTTGAAGCCAGGCGTTGACTTCTCCTACATGGCATTTTCTTAGAATATAAGGATGTAAATATATTTCCTTAGGATCATTCTCTTGTTGAGTGTAGCCACCTTCAGCAATGATCTGGAGAACTTGCTCAGCTTCTACATCAGCACTTGCTGCTTCATTGTTGCACATATGGAGGTGGCTTCTTTCTTTAACCCTCATGAACCTCTGCTAGCTTCAAATTTTTCTTTTTCAGCATTCTCACCTCCCTCAGCCTTCATAGAACTGAGGAGAGTTAGGGCTTTTCTCTGGATTAGGCTTTGGTTTAAGGGAATGTTGTGGCTAGCTTGATCTTCTATCCAGGCTGCTAAAACTCTCCATATCAGCAATAGGTTGTTTTGCTTTCTTATCATTTTTTTGTGTTCACTAGAGTAACACTTCTCATTTCCTTCAAGAACTTTTCCTTTGCATTCACAGCTTGGCCAACTGTTTGGCTCACAAGGCCTAGCTTTAGTTTATCTGGGCTTTTTTTGTTTTTTTTTTAAGATTTTATTTATTTGACAGAGAGAGACACAGCGAGAGAGGGAACACGAGCAGGGGGAGTGGGAAAGGGAGAAGCAGGCTTCCCGCGGAGCAGGGAGCCCAATGCAGGGCTCGATCCCAGGACCCTAGGATCATGACCTGAGCTGAAGGCAGACGCTTAATGACTGAGCCACCCAGGCGCCCCATATCTGGGCTTTCAACATGTCTGCCTCACTACACTTAATCATTTCTAGCTTTTGACTTAAAGTGAGAGACATGGGACTCTTTTTTTCACTTGAACACTTGCCATTGTAGGGTTATTGATTGGACTAATTCCCATAGTGTTATGTCTCAGGGAATAGGGAGGCCTGAGGATGTGGAGAGAGACAGGGGAATGGCTGGCTGGGGCAGCACTCCGAACACACACAATATTTATCAATTAAGTTGGCTGTCTCATATGGGTGCAGCTCATGGCACCCCCAAACATCTATAATAGTAACATCAGAGCTCACCAATCACATATCACCATGACAAATATAATAATAATGAAAAAGTTTGAAATATTGCAAGAATTACCAGAACACGACACAGAGACATGAGGTGAACAAACGCTATTGGGAAAAATGCCGACCAGTAGACTTGCTCAAAGTAGGGGTTACCACAAACCTTCAATTTGTAAAAAGCACAGTATCTGTGAAGTACATTTAAACAAAGCACAATAGGGGCTCCTGGGTGGCTCAGTTGGTTAGGCATCTGACTCTTGATTTCAGCTCAGGTCATGATCCCAGTGTCGTGAGATCAAGCCCTGCATTAGGCTCCGCACTCAGTGGGGAGTCTGCTTGAGATTCTCTCTCTCCTTCTCCCTCTGTCCTTCCCCATCTCATGTACGCCCCCACCCAGGCTCGTGTGCTCTCTCTCTAAAAAAAAAAAAAGAAAAAGGAACAAACACACACACACAAAACACAGAATAAAATGAGGCATATTGTACGCACAAAGCACCTCATAATTGTTTTGACGAGATGCAGAAACTTTCATGGCATTTTATCAATTCAGACTTTTTAACCTCAGGTAACCTTGATATTGATAAGGTTACTCAGAGGCCCAGTGATGTCTATATTTTTAAATAGCTTGGAAAAACCTGCTAAGACAGGCTGTTGGAGATGCAAAAATGAAACATAGACCAGCAGGGGGAGGGGGTAGACAACCACCATCCCCACCACCCCCACCACCATCACCACCACCATCATCACTGAAAACAATAAAGCATTCCCCATGTCTAGACATTGTGTTGAAGGTTTTCTGTTCATTATGTTGAATCTTTACAATTCTAGAAGATTAGTATTATCATCACCATCTCACAAAACAAGGCACTGAGTTTTGTAAAGGTTAAGTAACTTGCCCCAAATAAAACAGAATAAATAGCCGAGCTAAGATTCAAAAACCAGTTCTGCTCATCCCAACGTACTCAGCCTGCATTACAACAGTGCTGACCCTCTTGGCCATGCCCCAGTAAACTGAAGATTTGACTCCGTTAATTACATACAGAGCTGGTCCAGAGCCTGTTTGCCTTCAGATGCATTTCTTGCCTTCCCTGATCTGTGTCACAGGGAGGACTAACCTTCTTGTGTCAGTGGACTTCCGGGTGTGTGTGGCTAATAGGAGGAGTTTGGAGAGCAGCAGGAAAAAGAAGCCCGCTTGTTTCTCATCAAACCCCCTTCCACCTGCTGGGGGTGACATCCTGGGCATCCAGCCATGATACTTTCCTTCTGCCAGCTGCAGCTTTGCAAACTTTGGCCAGGTAGCCCTAGTCCCTGGGCTTCTTTAATATTCCTTCTTCCATTTGACCCTTTAGCCTAGTGGCATCCTACTGTGGTTAATCTAAAGCAAGAGTCTTGGGTATAGAAATAAGTGTGTTTGTTCCTCTTGGGCTTTATCACCATGGCCACCACCGACTGGACCAGGAGTGGCTCTAACTCGAGAACAGCCCACAGTTGGCTGGCAAGCTTCCTATGAGGGAAACTTGAGCAAGAGCTTTGCCATCAGGTCCTTAGCAACAATCTGGCTGGTGTTTGATCTAGAGATTCAGGGGGTTAGTTATTTGGTAGTAGGAACAAAGGCAGAAAGGCACTCTGAGAGAAACAAAGGCAGAGAGAAAAGACATCATGTCAGTTGAAGGGCACTCAGGAAAAGTTAGCAAGCTCTCGTGGTTGGGATTGAGGGGAGGATGGTTTATCTGCTCTGGCCTCTGAAGAAACTTCCAGTTTAGAAGCCACATTACAGTTTCTGTCCAGTTCAGCTATAGTCAGGTTCCCATTATTCCTGTGTGACCCAGTCACTGTGTCACTTCCTGCTTTCCTGGCTGGCTGAAATTTGTG